GTATGGAAACTTGTTCAAAATTGTATATGGTCATCCGATGATATTGAATATATATTGTATATTCCTCTTGAATTCTTTTTGATTCTAATTTCAAATTTGTTTGAAATTGTACATTCATATGCATGTATGTAGTACCGTAGAATATGTGAAACTCCTTCAAAATTAAAATAAAGCATAAAAGAAATAAAACAATACAAATTAAACAGAAAACAGGTTTAGGGGGGGGCTAAAACCCTAAACCTGCGGCGGCCTTTAGTCGCGGTTGGCCAGAAGAACCGCGACTAAAGGTCCTCCGTCCCGACGGCCGCCTGGCGCCCACATGGACGGGCCTTTAGTCACGGTTCTTAAGCAACCGTGACTAAAAGGGGGGCCTTTAGTCGCGCCTATTTGGTCGCGGTTGCGCAACCGCGACTAATGGCAGTTGCGAACCGCGACCAAAGGCCCTTTTTCCACCGGTGGAAGTCCCAGAAAACAGAGACTCAAGACCCATTCCTCTCCCCTCAAAATTGAACCTCGCCTCGCCTTCTCGAAGAATCCGGCTAGGGCTGACGGACACCGCGGAGGCGGAGATGGACCCCGGCTTCTCGCCCAGCTTCGAGTTCGCGTTTAATTCGCCCAACTTCTCCGACAGGTAGCTGCGGATAGAGATCCCTCCCCGACTTGGCGTTCCACCGCGAGGAGCTCCGCCTCCACAAGGAGGAAGCAGGTCCGTACAGTACAGTGCCTCACTCCTCCCACGCCCTTGGAATTAGACGGATTCATTCTCTGCTGTTTAGCGCGATTCGGATATGGATCCGTGTTTAAGCTGTGGCTATTTGCTATTCTTGCCGTTCCTTCACTTCACGGAGCTTACCCTTCATTAAGGTTTAACGATTAGGATGTTTTCTACAGTCTGGATTAATACCAAATCTTTTCACATGGGGCCATCAACAAATTGTAAATCCTCCATACATCCAACTAGAACACAACAAATTCTTAGTCTCATATTCAGGTGGAGCAGCAATGATGTTCAAAGTTCAAACAATATCAAATTTGACAGTGCTGTCCTTTTTGTGGATTGGTTATCTTGTAACCCTCAGGGTGATTCCTAGTCAAGTCTGTCACAAAGCGTTTGTTTTCTGGAATTATACCGCTTAATTACATTTTAGAGAAAATCTTTATGTGCTAGGAAATTTATAGTTCTTGGGATTTGGTTTGTGTAAGATTATTTATAAAATTATTTTCCCTAACAAAAGTTGTATCGACAAAACAAACAGGAAGAATGCTTTATTTTCAAATATGTTACTCACTTAATGGATGTATATTTGGAAGGATGAGGGAGTTAATTTATATCCCTCATTTTGTGAAAAAAATTGATTCTATGAGCAACTTTGATACGCCATATACTCCCTCCGTCCCAAAATTCTTGTCTTAGATGTATCTAACACTAAAACGTAACTAGATGCATCCGCATTTAGACAAATATAAGACAAGAATTTTGGGACGGAGGTAATATATTTGAAGAGAATGTGTGGAGGGGTGGGTTCTACTCTATAGCTCTTCACAACCTTGTTCCCTATTTGCGATTTTACTATTTCTTCACTTCACCTCACCTGTTGTTGTGTGAATTTAAGAATTGACTGACTATGGAGTCTTCTAGTCTGGATTAATATCCAATCTGTTCAGATGAAGCAATCAATAAATATATCCAACTAGAATACGGCAAATTGAGAGTCACATATTTAGGTGGAGCAGTTATGATGTTGAAACAATATTGAACCATTCAAATTGATAGTGCTGCCCCCTTTTGAGGATTGGTTAACATAAGCGTTTGTTTTCTGGAAATATATCACTTATTAGATTTTAGAGAAAATATTTATGTGCTCTTGGCATTCGGTTTGTGTAAGGTTACATTAGCATGCCAGATTATTCATAAAAGTAGTTTTCCTGAGAAAAGTTATACCGACGAAACAAAAAGGAAGGACGTGTTCTTGTCAATCTGTTATTCATTTAATGGGTGCATATTTGGAAGGTTGAGGAAGTTGATTTATATTCCTTATTTTGTAAAAACTTTGATTTTACGAGCAACTGTGAAACGCCATATATATTTGGAGAGAAAGCATGGAGGGACGGGTTCCTACTCTAGATCTCTTCACAACCTTGTTCCCTGTTCATCATTTAAAGTCAAGCAGTAGTCTGTCTCATTTATTGAAACGTTTAATGTTACTAGATATTAGCCTGCTTAATCATCGTTTAGTTTAATGTAGTATTAACGCCTGTGATGTACAGGTATAGCTGTTATTACTGATACAGTCTGATGATCAACTGGGTAACCCTTGCAGGTTGCGTGTTTCTCCACACGTGCAACATACTAGTTACATGCCAATGATGGCAAGATATCCACCAACTCTTAGTTAAACCTGTGTTCCTGTTTGTTGCTTGAACTTGATTCTGCCAATAGACGTTTGCGTGGTATAAAATACTGACTAACTATATGACAATATTACACTTTGATTGTCTGTTCTTTTGTACTTGGACACCATTATACGGTATATTAATAGGATCCTTGGGATGACATTTACTATTACTTTACTCAGGAAGCAGCGAGCATGCTCAGATATCTTGATGCAGCTAAATGAATTTGAATATTCATGATGTTTTATTAATCAATTTACCAAATTTCTGATGGTTGAGTCAACGAATATGCACACATAGAAGAACAGAGTGTTCCTATTATCTCAACAGAAGAATCTCTCTAGTGGTTTAGTTTATGCCTATTACTCCATTTCCCTCAGTTTGCCCTTAATATCTCTCTTGGACCATTTTGTCCGCGCCAGTTTTACGAGTGAAGACCAGTTACATCAATTCGGTGGTTTTCGCTGCAAATAGTCCATTCTTTCTTAAGGTAATTTTCATAACCTTTTGAGATTCATTTCTTCTTTGGTCAGTTTTCATGTTCCCTAATATGCTTTATTCTCCGTAGCTTTTCACAAATGGCATGAAAGAGTCTGATCAGAGGCATCTAACACTCTGAATTGCTGATTCGGGTAAACAGGTAACATCCTTTCCTTTTTATCCCAGTTTTCTATGGTGACACCGTTATTATTCTGTAGTCTGTACCCACTATTTTTTTTAATATAAAACATCGAATATTTGTGGTATTACAGGGATTCTGTCTCCGAGTTTCTGTCAGCCCTTCCTTTTTCTTTTTCGTAATGAAATGGTTAAGTCTCTTCTCAGTTTTCACCGTCGTCTTTAACTACCAAATGGGTATTTTGTCCACGATTAATCTTCTGCATGGATAGCTTTCCTGAATAAAGGAGGTCTACTGTTGTAATTTACGCACAAAGAATCTTCCATTTAGTTCTTTCTTATTGAACTGTTATCATAAACCCTTATGCCTCATTATTTCATTCTACTAGGAACGGAGGAAACTGTCATGATGGAGATTTTGAGATTTATGTACACTGCAAAGCTATCAACAACTGAGCACAATCTTCTGATCGACATCTTGATGGCCGCTGATAAACTGGAGGTTCTTGCCTGCATGTGGCATTGTAACCAGTTACTCAAAAACTTGCCTATGACCAGAGAGTTGGCATTGCTCTACCTAGATTACCCATGCTCCAGTTCAGTGGCTGCTGAAATTCGGCATCTGACGGATGCAGCCAAGGAATTCCTCGCCGGCAAATACAAGGTTTTGGCCAAGTGAGTGATCACTATCTGACGGAGCTACCTTTTTTATTTTCCAAGAAAGCATTAGACATCTTCCTCAAAAAGAAAAAAAGTGTAGACATTTTTGTCACAAAATCATGCATGAAGTGTCTACTGATGGAATGATTTGTTTCGTTCCAGGTTCTCTGATGAATTGATGGACATGCCTCTTGCTGGGATTGAAGCCATGATTGAAGATACCGTATATAGCTTCTTGCTTGAGTGGGCGTGCATGCAATACCCAGAAAGGCATAAGCTATGGAGCTCTCGTTTACTTCCGCTGGTACGCTTCAGTCATATGACTTGGAGCAAACTCCACGAAATCCTGACATGCAGTGATGATGCTGTGCACAGTGAGCAAACAAAGAAGCTTATTACTGATTTACTCCTGCACAAAGCTTACCCAGCACATGAGCAAGGCACTATTGAGGCAGACACAACAACCCGTTGGCAAGTTCCACAGCGAGCTTACAGGCTTAAACCAATCAAAGTGGTTGAATTTTACTAGCCCTGCCCACAGGTCATCGTTTACTTGGATCTAGCACATGAGGAATGCTCCCGACTCTTCCCAAGCGGAAACATTTGGCACACTTGTTCCATCTTTCTGGACAAAGATTTCTTTCTCATAACAAATTGTCAAATGGATACAGCTTTGGCCTCTTTATAGAAATAATTGAGATGCCAAAGGGCCCAACATGTTTGACAGTAGACTTTGAGTTAGCTGCAAGGACAAGATCGTCAGGGAAATTCGTGCTCAGGTTCGAGGACAAGCATACAGGTGATGATTGGATGCTGGGATGTGGTGACCTTTCTGAGGTTCCATGGTCGACGTTCATTGCCAATGATAATCTCTTCATCGATGGTGTGCTGCATCTGAGAGCTGACTTGAAGGTGGCGCAGAAGGGATTACAGACTTGATGATATCTTGCTCAGCAAAGTTGGGTTGATAGCTGTGGAAGGTGAAAGTTGCATATTTAAAATAGAAACAAAAATTAATCAAGTTGTCTCTTCGAGAGGAAAACAACTTTATTAAGCAACAAAATGCAAAAAAACTTTATTCGTTAACAAACAATCAGGCTTTGAAGCATCCCAGAAGGAGTGCATTGTGATTTTTATTAGGTCCATGTGGTCTTTTGCATTATAAACCAGAACGCGTGCCCGTAATTTTGCACTTCCTACTTCCGAGGGTCCTATTTGGAAAGTCTGGTACCGCTGACCTCGCCTTCCCGAAGAAGCTTCGGCGGCTAGGTTACGCCCGCCGCCGCCGCCCCACGTTTCGTCCCTCTCTCCCACACGTGGCGGAGGGCATGGGCGCCGTTGAAGATTCAGCGACGGCGGCGGGGGCGGCAGCGGAGATGGAGCTGGACTACTCGCAAGGCGGCGTGCTGCCCAGCTTTGACTTCGCGTTTGACTCGGTCAACTTCTCCGACCGGAATCTGCGTATAGAGATCGTCGCCGGTGACCACGTGCTGGGTTCCGGTGGACACGTCGGCGGAGGATCCACTACCGACCAGGCGCGCCGCGGCAAGGAGAAAGGTGAGTAGTGTACAGTGCCTGATGTAGCTGTTATTAACAGATTAGAATACATCAGCTATTTTGGATGTAGCAGTGGTGTTCAAATAATATCAGTCCGTCGCCGGATTAGCCCCCAAAAATTTAAATAAACTTCAATCACTTGTAATTGAGATTGACCACTGGACAACAAAGGGGCGCAACTACTCAGCTTAGAATTTTTGGAAAGGTGCTACCAGTACCTGAAGGAATATTTGTTGTCCTTTGTGCATTTCAAACTTCTAATCTTCATGTCATATTTCTTGGTCAAGTTTGTCACAAAGCCCTTTCCAAAGGAATTGCCTAGGTAGTCTTTTAACAATTATTTATTTGTGGGAAAAATTCGGAGATCTTGGAATAAGCTTGTTTTGAGTGAGATTACATTGAGGCATTGACATGTCAGATCATCAAAAAAGGAAAAATGTGCAGTCACTGCAATAAATCTTCCAACTGTTATATTTCTTAATGTAGCAACAGAACAAATAGGAATAACATATTATTAGCAAGTGTGCTCTTCATTTTAGTTCAACATTAGTCTGCATTCTCTTTTTTTCTCTTTTTTGAGGTAACATATGTATTTGGACCGAAGAAGAAACTGTTCCATGACCTTCATTTTAGTTGAACATTAATCTGCATTCTTTTTTTTTCTTGTTTGAAACAAAGGTTGTCATTAGCCTGTTGCTAAAAACTTCATACGGCTGCCTCCATACATGCAAAAATACTGGTTGCAGATCGGTGTTTTCCAACAATGCAAAGATAACCACTTGAACTTAGTTAACACCTTGTTTCTGTTTTGGCTACTTGAACTTGTTTGTGCTACTGGATATAGCAGTATGGACTACACTAATTCATTAGATGGCAATTAGCATGTTACATCCATTATTACTGTACTCAGTGAGCTATAAGGCCTTGTACAATGCAAGGTGCTCAGTAAAATAAACCGAGTTTTTCTTAAGCGTCAATGCTTATTTCTATAGGGGGGGTCCCTAATTTAGCATACCCTATACAAATAAGCACCGGTGCTTAAGGAAAAACTGGTTTATTATTCTAAGCACATCCTCTAAGAACACAGCATTGTACAAGGCATAAGCACCTCCTTTGGCCCATGCTTCATCCCCTAGGTCGGCATGGACGGCGCTCCCTTGCCGCCGCCTTTGGGCCCCTCGACGCTGTCGGGCAAAGACCCCGGCGGTATGCGGTGTTGTGGCTTCTCCTTCCTCCTCTCTCCCCGCCTCCTGCGGGACCTGCAAGGGGTGCTCAAACCCTAACCCTAGCCAGACCCGCCTGGGCCGTTGTCGGGTGTCTGCAACTTCCCTCATGTCCTGCCGGTGGATGTCTCCTTGGGGTGCGAGGGCTATCGCCAGGAGTGTTACGGACGTGTCCCCTAGCTCGATGGTGGGAGCCACCAACGAATTGCACATTCTTGCTGAGTTGGGCCAGGGTAGGAGTCAGTGGGGTCGGCTGGTGCCCGAACCACAGCATATAGCGGGGCTCGAAGGTTGTTGCTACAAGTGGCCATTGTGTTGGGCTCGCCTTTGTCCAAATCTAGCCGGGTTCGTAGATGCTCGCAAGTTTGGGGGTTTTCAAGGGGTGGGGAAGGAGCTCCCGTCCCACCCTTTCCTCTGGTGGTTGATGGTTGCAGGTTTGGTGTGGGGTGGGGGCTTGAGGTCGTGGATGTCGGGGCGGCAACCCTGAGTGGCGGGCTGCGCATTTGGCTCTCCGACGAGCAGTGTTGCCGCGGTGTTGGTGACGCTTCTTCGTCATGTGATTGGTGGGTGAGTGGTGGCGGCCGA